GATTCTTATCCTTTTCCTAGTCACATGGTTGAAGATAATACTTGTGAGTTCTTGGAAGATTATGAATCTGGTTCTTCTGAATCATCTTCCTCTGAATCTGAGTCAGAGTCTGATTCATCTGAGACTGAACCAGATATGGATGAGGATATGACTTCACACTCAGGTTAACTAATCTTATTCTTAATTCTAGTTTCATGTTTTATGTTGGGATGATAATCTTGTACCCTAGAAAAATTTTATTTCTCCTTTAGGATTGAGCATCTCCTGCTGAGATGCAATCCTTCTGTTGCTGTTACTTGACATGATAACATTATGTTTCACATACTGTTTTCTATTATCTATGTTACTCAAACTCAAATACAGGTTTTGGGTGTCGGTATGTGCAAAAGTGTTTAATTCATCAATTTCCTTAAATCAAAGACTTGTGGATACAGCTAAAATGGATCTAAAACTAAGATACAGGCGTGGGGCCTCTTTATAAATTATGGTGGTCTATGTTTATCAAATTATAATGGACATTTTGTTTGTTGAATCATAAATGGGCAGTCAAATATTATTGTACATTTCAATTTTCTAAAATGGCTTCTGACTTTAAAACCTTTAGAAAGCTTGCTGAGATTGAATACTCTAGTTAACCCCTCCTTGTTGGCCATAAACTGAATCCCAAATGTCCTAATTGACCTAAAACATGCAGAACACAAGCAAAATAAACCAAATGGATGGAAGAGGACATGTATGTTGGTGGAAAAAACAAGATAAAATTACTCTCGTGATTGACCTTGGACTTTTGACTTTTAACTACAGTTTTGAACCCCAAAATTTTGATTATTTTCTGTTCTTTTTCTTGTGTGAATTTCGATGCTTCTCTAATCTTCCTTCTCATGTTATTTCATTCTCTTTCTTCCATCCTTCTCTGTCATCACCTTAGAGGATCCAACCGATATCCTAGACTGATATCCCTGTCGAGTCATATTGACACGAGTGCCCCACTTAATATGACGTGTCTGAACAACAGAGCTTTGTACGATATTAATGGTGTTTCTTTAGTTCTATACATGTAATTGTTGATTGTTAAGTAATATTTGAAATCCTGTTTTATATAAAAAATGTAATTACTGTTATAAATTTTGCTCATGATGTATGTATTGATTGTAATTAAAATGAATTGGAGTAAAGTGGTCAAATTTCATAGTTGAAAAATAATGCTAGACCTAATCAATAGCTGAGATCTTGAATGAAATTTGAAAGTTCTTCTATTGGCTACATATGAAATAAAATTTCTCCTTGTTTTTACATTTCTAGTGGCTGAGCCAAGTTATATTAAGTTTGGACGCCAACATTAAAGTATGCATGGAAATAACATATATAATAAATTTGTAATATAAGATTAACAGTCTTCAGGGCCTATATGTGTGCGTATAATCTTCTGAATTTGACTTAATTTGCAAGACCAAAATGTAGGAATTTGAAAACTTATGGGCCTGTGGCCCCTGATGGTCTTTACTTCCATCCATTGCTGCTCTTTTGATTACCCTAGGAATTTGATGTTTAGTCAAGAAAGCATCATGGCTTCACTAACTTTTTGTGTTATTTATCTCTGTTGCTCGGGCTCAGCATATTAAATCGTGTTGATAGAACATGACACATATGTGTGGGTATGGGATATGATTTGTATTTTCCTGTGTTGTTTGTGGAGATGGCTAAGAAAGATGGTCGAAAGAGAATGAAGGAAACATGTGAAGATTGGAGAAAACATTCAAAATGCACGAGAAAGAGGAGGGAAAATAATAACTATTTTGGGGATTAGGGTTTAGGGTTTAGGGAAAAAATAATCTTTTCGTTTTGTTTTATCCATTTGGTTTAATTTCACTTGGATTTTGCATGCTGTGGTTCAATTAGGGGACTTACACTTCAGTTTATCAACTTTTGTGGGCCAACGAATAGGTTGATAGTATGTTTAGAGGATTTGGGTCCAGAAAAGTTTTAAATTCAACAATGATTTTCAAAAATTGACTGTACAATGTTATTTGAAAGCCCATTCATGATTCGATAAAAAAAAACCCATTATAATGGAATAAACATATTCTATTATATTCAAGTTATTTCGAGCCTCAGCATCTGTACTTTAGTTTTGAATTTATTTTGGTGGTATCCTCATGTCCTAGATATCAGACAATTAATGAATCACATGCATATATGGATACTTGCACTTGAGTCTGAGAAACATAGGTATTGGTTGCCCAATGGATTTGATGTTCAGTTCAGGAAGCATCATGGTGTGCATAACTATTGGTATATTTTGGTAACTGGTTATTCCTCTCATTATATCCTTATTTTCTTTATTCAGGTGCTACTGCATGTAAGGATGTCCGGTTAGGTGCCTTCCAAAGACCCAACACACTAGGAAGTGGAAGCACGGTCCAGGGAGATTCTGATGATTCATCTCTTTCTGGTGAGATGTCTCACTTTTACAGTCACGATCATTTTTCTATGAACGAAGCTGTTTCCAAATGGCAGCTAAAAGGGAAAAGGAACATGCGGAATCTGACAAAAAGATCCATGGATGCAGCAGAGGTAAGAGGTTATGATGCATCTGCTCATGGGATATATCATGACGAAAGGGGAGCTTTTCGAAGAAGGCCATTAGGTCATAGTTCTCATTTAAATCATGACTTTGACGATGATGATGTAACTGATTTGAGTGCAAAAGATTTTGGGACCCAAATGGTTGTATTGATGATAGAAGACATTTGCATACACCAAGGGATACATCCAGAAGGAGATTTAGTTTCAATCATAACATCACTGATTGGGAAGGCATGCCTTGGGAGAACCATGCTTATGTAGAAAGAGAGTGGGAGGACAAAGTGTGGCACTTTGATCCGATATTTGCTGCCCATCGTAATTTCCGTGGGAAAAGATCTATGTTGATGGATGTGGATTTGAAAGTCCAAGCAAGCTATCAGAAACAACCGGTACCTATTTTTTCATTGATAAGCAAGTTGGATGGGAAGGCCATAATAGGGCATCCCATTCAAATTGAAGCTCTAGAAGACAGTTCAACTGAGACCCTTCTCCCCACTAATGGTTGTTTTAGTAATGGACTAAATAACCATGATGGAAACACTTCACTTCCGCCTGCATGGAGGACTGCCAAGAGGACCAATTTTAGGGTCCCACGGCCTCACCCGCCATTTGCATTGGGTAGTTATGTAGGTGCTGAATATCAATCCTTGGACCATGAAGGCCCCCCTTTCAAGAAATACAATATAGGAAGTTCCGAGTATGAGGTAGGCCTAGTCAAAACAGCATACCTCACGTTCCACACTCTCCGACTGACAGGAAGTTCCAAAAGAAGTTACCGAAGAAGGTAAGCTTATTTTCTGGCCAGAAAACAAGAGCTCTGTCATCAATTGGTATAGAACGAAATCTCAGTATGAAGCCTATACATGATAGTGATAACCCCCAAATGGATGGATTAATCAAACCAGAGTGTTCTGGACCTACAACAGTGGCTTGCATACCTGTCAAACTAGCATTCAGTAGGTTACTTGAAAAGATCAACAGGCCACCATCCAAAGCAGCTAGTAAAGTGATTTTCTCCACTAGTGATGCGGTAAGAGATCCGTCGTAGATCACATTGTACATTGATATGATGAAACGTTAAATACTGTTAGCAGAATAAGCCTTGCTAATTTCCTTTTTTTTTTTGACAAAAGCATGCCCTCCAAACACTGCATTGTTAACTTTGTCAAGTTGAGGTGTCTTCTTCTTTCCAATAATTAGATGGACCAGATACTTAGCATCGAAACTAAGTTACATATGATGAGTATATTCATCACTTGTAGCGTTTTTAGGGGGTTCACTTTTGCTGGACATTTTTCTGAGAAATCAATGGAACAAAGGTATATCGTCACGTAGCAAAGAGGAGGAAAGCAAGCTGATTGGAATTTGCATAAAATCTGGTTTACCTTGGTGAAGTTACAGGTTCTGTACTCGTTTCAAGTAATCAGGAAAAGGATGTCTAGTTTTACCAATGTAGGTACATTTTGACTGTCAAAGTTGGCATTTTATGGGAATTTATTTATGGTAGGGGAAATGGAAAAAAAAGAAAGATAGCTGATGGAATCTTTTATTATTCTTTTTAGTTTTACCCTATATGTATACTTCATGTGTTAAAATATACTTTTATCTAGAGGCTTTTTTTACCATCAACAATGAAAGATATAGCAATGCCATTCATTTTACACCCTCAACATTCTTGGTGCAAAAACCGGGATCTCAATAAATAATATTTTCTTTATCACCAAGATTATTTGTGCTGAAATGGGTAAGTCTAGATAACTGTTCTATTCCTTCCATTTTCCATATATATTCTGAAAATACTTTTGAAGTGGCATGAGGTTTGTTAAATAGAACCCCCAACTTTTGTAAATAGGGTAACAATAAATAAATGAGTAAACTACTTGATCACATGCCTATTACTTAATTTTTTATTTTGGTTATTCAATTATCAATATTTTAAAAATTATACTTAATATTATGGTTCTATTTCAATAACCCGTCATTAAAAAAGATAATGGTGATACTTATGTGTCATTATAAGTTAAAACTACGCCAATATTGAAAAATAATAAAAATACTACATTAGTATACTATTAATTTTTTAACGGCAAGAAACAAAAATGTTGGAAAAATAATAATTGAGCGATCAAACTAAAACAAAGTAATATGTAGGTGATCAAATAGATAACTTACCCTAAATAATAGAAAAGGTAAGGTTTTGGCTCGAATAATGAAAAAAAGAAGATGAATGATTAAAATTTTTTATTAACGAAAATTCCCATCTGAAGTTTTAATCATTCATACTAAGCAGAGCCAAAAACAGATGGTACAAAAAAATAATATAACTACAATATTTTCACGATATAGTAAGAGCATATAAATTTAGCTGATCTTCATGCAAAGCTTGATCTCTATTTAACTATATAAAGAATCCCTACCTGAAACAAGTTTATATTGGCACTCTAGTAAAATTAGCTACAATATAAGCAATGCATGCAGCTACAATAAAATCTTATACGATTCACGAGTGTTACCGAAATTTTCCGATCAAGTGAACTGCCGCCTGTTATAAGTATCTTCGTGTACAAAAACAGGATCTTGTGAGGTCTGGTGGGGTGGGAACTGAGGTTGTCCCATGGCTATGCCACCTTGATTCGGAACAGCTGCAGTGCCCCAAGGACCACTTGTGTCCTTCGTGGTGTTTGAGGTGAGATAATATAAGATCCCAGACACTACGCTCGCAATGGCTAACGCAGATCCCCCGGCAAAGACTCCGGCAATGACGTAGCAGTAGTAGTAGCCAAAGTACACGCTCTCTTCACCGTGTTGATCGTTGAGTGCAGAACCAGTTAGCAAGAGAAGGAAAGCTATAACGAATGTGAACCTGCAAGACCATGGAGTAAGCATTTAATTATTTACTTGAAAAGAGAGTTGGCACAGTACAAGCAACAGCCAGCCTATAATAAACAAGATGAAAGCAATCTCTACATCACTATCGAGCATAAGACATGGAATCCGCAAGAAAAACCATAAACATCTAGAAAAGTATTCCTACTCTGTCGACTATTTAGCGTTCTTTCTCGAGGCAATTTAACAGTCCCAAGACTACTCATTCTCAACATATAAACTTTGGCTCAAGAAACTGGCACTCAGTGAAAAACATGCTGGACCGAAAAACAACTAAACACTGATATATTGACATTTTAGTCCTATGCTTCGTAAATGAAATAATTCTCTCACAGTTGCATTCAACATTCATGCGATAGCCTGTAAAGCATCCGTCCTAAAATCAATATACAATAGGTAACTACTCCGATCTGTAGGCCTAATGCCAACTGAAATCAATGGGGAATACATGCAGACTACAAATATAAATCAACAAACACCTGCCCTCAGGCTTTGATGTTGTGCTAAGCACCTCAAAGAGCAGAAAGAAGCCCAAGTCGAGTATAAGATCACAATAGACTTCTAGCTGAACTACTGTGATAGCACCGCTTGATATGGTGTTCGGAAAAATATGCATTTATAGCCATCGTGACATACTGTTTTCAGTCTTGGAATAAATTTCTTCCAAACGACTGTTTACGAAGCATAGGACTAAAATGTCAATGTATGAGTGTTTAGTAAATAATTCTCATATATTTACTAGCACGGGTATAGGTTTCTAATCCTATGAAGAAAGCACAAGATCTAGGTTCCAGATTTTAGTCCCTAGTCCTTACCAATAATACCAAGGAAACAAAAAACATATAATGTAAAAAAAGAAGGAAAAATATGTTCTATCAACAAGTTATGCTCGAGAATCACCAAGAAACAACATAGAAGATAAGGGCTTTTGTCCAGTTAGAGTTCCAATTTTGACTGGTTCTTTTGCAGCAAATACACCCTGTTGTAACATTAATGATTATATGAGCTACCAGAAGTGCTGCTGAAGCAGTTAAGCCAAGACCAAGTGCAGAACTCCGAGGATAAGAACATTGTGTATTGGAGACAAATTTAACATCCGAAGCCTAAGAGAGAGAGAGAGAGAGAAAAAAGAACAACTGGACATCATAAGAATTCCAGAAAGTCCATATCCGAGTAAACAAACTTAACGCATGGAAGGAACAGTAGTAGCATATTATTCAGATTCTCATTTTCACAAGCTCCAATTCGAAATAGATACAAAAAATTCTTTGGAGCAGGTAATTCGGTTAAAATATATGAACCAAACGTCTGAGAGGGGAAAAGAAAACATAAAATGTAGGTGCTCCGACCAAAGCTTACTGTTTCAGAATTGTGTGCGTGTGGCTTTTGGATATATTCATAAACATATTTTTATATTATTTCTTGAATAAAATAATTAGTATTAGGGTAACTTTACCTATTTAATATTTAACTTATCAGTTTCAATCATTTTAATATTTAAATTTTAAATTTTTTAAATCACACTTAAAATTTAATTTTTATTTTATTTTAATACCCATTATTAAAGTTTTATTTATTTATTTTAGTAACCTTTAAAATTTAACATTAGGTTTTGTAAAATTTGAAAGCTTATATATTAAAACGGACTAAAAATGATAGTTTATGCATTAAATGCGTTAAGATTTTACGGGGTACTGAAATAAAATGGAAACTAAACATTATGTATGGTTTTAAAAAAATTGAAAATTTAGGTACTAAAATGAACCAAAAGTGATAGTTTATTAAAACAGACCAACACTAATAGTTTAGATATTAAAATAAATTAAAACTAATAGTTTAAATACTAAATACATAATTTACCCATAAAATAATTATTATTTTAAAATAATTTTGAATTTATTTATATAAAATACTTTGTTAATATCTAATTCCAACTTCTCGGTTTAAGCTTTGTTAGTAAGAAAATAAATAATATGATAAATGATCTAACCATGTCATTCCCTTATTATTTTATTTTTATTTTGATCATTAATTATTTTCTGTTAAGAATACATCTAACATTACATTTTGTTTATATTTTAGTTATCCATCATTAAAAAATTAATGATTGTAGTGACATAATATTTGACAAATTATTTTCTATTAACCTATTAATAAAATAACAACACATATCATTAGAGGTGGTCAAAATACCCGAACTCGACCCGACCCTATAAGGGTTTTTTTTTTTAATTTTGGGTTCAGGGTGGCTTAGGGCTAGGCGGGTTATATAATAGATAGGTTCTAGGTTGGACAGAGTTGGGTTTAAGGTGAAAAATCACTTACCCGACCCGACCCGGTTTATATATATTTAATAATTTTAATAATTTTATTTTTATAATGTTAAAATATATTATTTAATTATTAAAATTATAATAAATAATTATAAATATATTATTATAAAATGTATTATTTTAATTATTTTAAACTATTGATATATTCGGGTCTGGTCGGGGTCAGGATTTTAATCTAAACACCGGGATAGATTCGGGGTGGGAGAGAAGCTAAAAACTATAGGGTCGAGTCAGGTGTAGACAATATATTTTTGGATTGGGGTCAGAGCGACCAAAAAACTACCTGCCCTACCCTGTACCCATCCCTAAATGTCATCACCTTATAACAACAAAACTTTTAAGGATAACAAGACTAGGACCTACTCACCGGTTAGACATTGTAATTATGTTAATTTCATCGTATATTGTATTTAAATTATAAAATTAAATCCAAGAAATTTTCAAATAAAGGATAACATGATTTTCATGGACATAAGCAGCACATGAAGCATCTGAATTGCTGAAACGAAAACTGTGCACTGCTCCAGTGCTCTATCAGGAAGAATGCTACAGCTATAATGGCTTCAACTATTTGGGGGTTTATTCATACGAGTGTCATTCTAGTTTTCTTTTGCTTGTACTAACTTCATTAAAACCGATATATGCCGAGTTCTCAACGTTCAATTGAGACGTTTCGAGATGCATTAGAAAGGTTATTGAAAGATGATTCATACGCAAAGAGACATCTCAATTAAAAAATACCCAAAATTATTATTATTTAAGTTAAATCTCAACAATAACCTACGCAGCTCGCGCATGTAGATCTATTGTCATTTTCGATACGTCTCCGAAAATTTTAGTAAACCCAAGCTTATTTGCAGGCAAGAGTTCATCCCCAAAGAAACAGCTAGTCTCAAGTACCTGATCCAAGCCTTTGCCGCATTCCCACCACCATCAACAGGCCTTGGGAGGCGATTTTCTATACGTGCATGGACCACCATCGTAATTCAATGTAACACTCGCAAACTCAATAATATGATAAACTCGAATTTTAGGGGTGTTACAAAATTTTATGATTTTTTTGTTGTATGAATAACTTTCGATACTTGGTATTGTAAAGTATCGAATTTCAGTATCAATTATAGCGCTAAACTTTGATTTTCATTTATATCATTAAACTTTTAATTTTTTTCAATTATAGATCTGAATTTTGATTTTCGTTTCGATTATACTATTGAACTGTTAACTCGTTAACGACACGATGACGTGCCTGCCGACTGCCGATACCTCACCAAAACGACGTTGTTTTGATTCGACTGTTAACAGTTTAACGACTTAGGTATAATTGAAATGAAAATCAAAATTTAGTGCTATAACTGCTAAAATTAGAAGTTCAATAGTATAAACAATACAATACTTAGGGGTTGTTTGTTTACTTCAGAATGATTAAGTGTTTAATGATTCAAATGCTGAATGATTCAGAGGCTCTGGATGAATTAGCTCTGAATGTGACATGTTGTTTGTTTACTGGCTTTGAATCATTCATAATGTATTTCTGTGCTGAATCATTTTATACTGTTTTGCTGAATCAGTCAGCACTGAATCATTCAGAGGTGCAAAAAAAATGAGCTGGATGTTGAACCTGAATAGTTCCATTAAGAGGTAAACAAACAGCCCCTTAAAGTTCGATGATATATAATTTAGTTTACTCTTAATATTATTATCTAAAAATAAAATTATTATATCTTTTCATTTTAGTTAACACCGAATTTACAATGATATCAATTCAATCGAGAGTACTATAATTATGATAAGATGTACAAATCAAGAGTGCTATAATTATAAGAATATAATTATGATAAGGTGTGTACGAACTAAATAATTTTGATGGTTAATGGATTTTTTTGTTATATTTTTTGAGGTTTTAGATTTGAGCAGCGTAGAGTATGAATATTTATTGTCAAATAATTGAATTTTATATGGGTAAATTACGCATTTAATACTTAACTTATTATTTTTGGTCCGTTTTAGTATTTAAACTTTTAATTTTTTTTCAAAATCATATATGGAGTTTAGTTTTTGTTTCATTTTAGTACACCACCGTTAAAAACTTTAGTTTTTGTTTTATTTTAGTACCACATTCAAAATTTAACGTTAAATTTTGAAAAAAACAAAAGTTTAGGTACTAAAACGGGTCAAAACTGATAGTTTAGATACTAAACACGTTAAGTTTTATTTTAACGGCGGAATACTAAGATGAAATGAAAACTAAATGTTACGTATAATTTTGAAAAATTGAAAGTTTAGGTACTAAAACAGACCAAAACTGATAATTTATGTACTAAATGCGTAGTTTATCTTTTTTTAAATTTTGATGTATGATTTGGGTTGAAGGCTTGAAACATGCCTTGGTTATGTGGTATTATATCAGTGAGATTTCCACTCCCATTTTAAAGGATAAAGGCTTGAATCATGCATTCCCAATTCCTCTTTAGTTTACAACTGGCATAGAGATCCATAATTGATAATGATAAATTAAAAATTTTGATCGGAGATTGAATTGATGGAGACCCACATAAAGTGTCGTTTTATACCATCACAGGCTTTACTCATATCAAGTTTTAGAATAAAATGATTTTCTAACTCTCTTCTTTTGAAAAACGATGTGTGTGATGAACTATTTATTCCTTTTGAAACCATATTCTTTTTCTTTTTTAAAACATTTACACAAAGAATAAAATCATGATGATTTATAAATAAAGGGCCTCGATTTAAAATAAAATAAAATAATTAATTAAAATATTATAAGTTAAATCATTTTCAAATTATAAACTTTACAGACCCATCAAATCGTCATCACTATATTCTAATACTCATTTAAGACTACTCTAACGATATCATTATCCCTTTACACTCCACATAACATGTAACATACGAATAAAAATATATTCCGAACGTTAAACTCACGTACATTCATAACATAGGATACCATTAAGTATGGTCAAAGAAACAGTATTAACAAAACCATCAATGCTATCTATTCAGTGCATATCAATATCATAATTGAAATTATCACGTAACATGAACTAAATGGCTATTTTGATAAAACTTTAGTCTTTTTACAAAAATATCCCCGAAATAGTTGCTTGGCTTTACGGCATTTTGAGGAATAGTTCCACCTGGCCTTCTATCAAAAAACGAGGAAATGACCGTACCTACTCAAGTACTACAAAATTATTGTAAAGGACAAAAGAATCATTTCACTTAAACGGCGTTTCTTTTAACGGACTACTAACGCCGTCAAGCAGACCACCTAACAATCCAAAAATCTGTTTACCATAAATGACCAAAAGTTAATGAGTTCAAAGTTGAGTGATGATTTGAGTAGTTTATCCTTATATTAATTAAAACCCCCACTGTAAGACTAGAGTTCCGTGATGACGGTTGAGTGAAAAGAGAACGGACAGTCGTGTGTGGGTGGGGTTAGCGGTTAGGTGCGGTGGTAGGCCGGTGAAATGGGCATCAACGTCCCTTTATAAATACCTACACTCCTTAGTGCAAACGCAAAACATATTCCCTTCAACCGTAGCCTTTTTGTTCCCTATCTCCCAGAATTTTCGCTCTCTTTTATCCCCTCACTTGTATGGCAGCCAATTTCAGGAGTGGTGGAGGGATCGCCAGCTTGGGGAAGCGCCTTCTTAACCGCACCGCCACGCCCACTCCTTCACCTGCTGCCGCTGCAGCTATCAGGTTCTTTCTTGCTTCCTCTTAGTTTCGTCGGCAGTCTTTTCTTCGATTTTTAGTTGATGTGATTTTTCATGCTGAATTTCGTAGCATTATTAAGTTTTAGGATTGATTTCTATGTTATACAAGTTGAGAAGATTTCACCGAAGGACGAGTCTCTCATTCAGGAGTTTGATCATATCATGCGAATGATGGAATTATTTTCATCATTTTAGTAACATAAACATGAGTTTTAAGAGAGGAATTTATTGATTTTGATTTTTTTCCTTCTTTTAATTTTGAACTGTACTTTATTAAATTAAGCATATGTTTTTAATTACATAAAAAGAAAGAAAATAAAAAAAGGGGGAATCGTTTGTTGATATAATCGAGAAATATGGGGGGGGGGGGGTGCCGTACTCAGTCGAGGGTGGTGGTGGGGAAGGCTAAGTGGACAAGGACGCACCTTCCCTCTCCTCTCCTTTTAGACACGTGTCTGCCAATCATCGTTTTCAACGCTAATCCAAATTCTTCTTCAATTTACAACCACAGTAATATTAATATATATATATCTATAAATTTTAAATTAGAAATGCTCTTAATGAACTTAAAATCTATTATCTAAAGAAATAAAAGGGAATATAGATAAATAATTTAATTAATCGATCTAATATATTTAGTTGAATTAGTATATGATTTTTAATTTAAGTTACTAAAAATAAAATAATGAATAATTATAGTTTTTATTTGAAACTTAGAACCAGGGATGAGTCGTCCTTTCTAATTAAATTAATATAAAATTGAAATAATAATTTATTTGTAATCCTAAAAATTTATTTTATCCTAAAATTTAGAACATAAAATTCTACCTCATACATAAAATATGGAGTGTTGGCGTGCAAATTACGTTAGATGGATTTTTTTTTAATTCTGATCGTTTACTTGGTGTGTATTTATAATTTTAATTTATGAAAATTAATAAATTGAACTTAAAATCTCATCATTTATATATTTTTTTAATAAAATAAACTTGAAATTGATCTGTTGGGCTTTCTTAATTTTCTTATTACAGAACAGATATTATTTTTGTCGTCGATGCTGTTTTAACAGTCCACTGTTTTGCGGAGTATCTTGACCCATACTTTTTGATGCCCTAATATTTTATTGATCTTAGGGTCGAACAGGGATGTGTGTCGACAATAACTATGAATATATATTAACTTATAATCGTCTCAAATTATTTAAAATAATAGTAATTTTATTGTATACGCAGGAGTGCTCACTCATCGGCATATGACAAGAACCTGGATGATCAGGTCCATGCAAGTGCGGTTCCCGATGATGTGATCCAGCTTCAATCAGACAAGTACTGGGCTCCGAACCCTCAGACCGGGGTGTTTGGCCCTGCTGCCGGGCAGCTTAACGCATCTGGTGGTGGGGAGCAAGGCATCCGTTCCGGTGGCGAGAACTCGGTCCTCGAGGAAAAGGCCTGGTTCCGCCCTACGAGTATCGAGGACCTGGAGAAGCCGCACCATCAGTAAACTCACTTGTTATGAGCCGACTGTTATATCGTCTATATGAGACAAACAAAGGTGTGGTTTTAAAGTGGATCAAATAAGTTGGAAAACGTTTCCTTGGTATTAGGCGGTAGAACATTATAGTTGGGGGACTTGTTTACATGGGAATTTGCAAATCTAGTCACTGTGAACTCTGTAACACAACAACTTTTGTTTCTGATGCTTGCGTGCTATATTACTATAGAACTCTTGGGTTATTTTGTGTTTGCTGAATTTGCAAATTTGGTATACTTAGGACGAGTTTCTAAAAATCTAAAGATTGAAATGTATGATGTTTCAAAATTCTCAAGGATGATTATCTATTTCTGCTTCTCTTGATCCATCCTTAGGATGTGACCTAGTTAAATGGATGATGCAGCTGATAATTTAGGATGTGTCCTAGTTAAATGCACGATGCAGCTGATAATTTAGTGGCATGTATAAATCGTGACTTAAAAGGAGTGGTGGCCACCCAATTGAGCAGGACCTATTGGGGGGCAGGGGGGGGGCATAGTCGGTGAAAAATTTGTGTGGCTTTGGGCAGATATTATTTGGGGTTTTCTCTGTAGTTTCATGTTTGCTGTATGTTTTAACACGTATACATACTTCCCACATCAGAGATAGATCGAAGAAGAATAGGTGGAGAAGATATCGTTCATTTAATGTTTTAAAATCAAAGTAGATGGACCGAAGAAGAATGAGTGAAGAAGATATCGTTCATTTAATATTTTAAAAATCAAATCAAATGAAAAAAAAGCATTAAACGTTTATTGTCTGAGAATATTTAAAATATATATTACTTTATAATCACCTAAATGGGTCTTATATATATATGCACATGGTAGATAAAAGTATATTGGATTTTGTAATTATGTAAAGTATCTGAATTGTGTGTAGATTTTTAAGCCATCAAGTCAGATACCTACAAACATAAATACATTATGATATTGAGCCCATGTTATAACCGTTGTTAAAAACTCTGTTAAGTAACACACATCATATTTTGATAATTTTTATTTTTTCAAAAATTAAAATATTTTTAATTAAAAAATCAATTTAAAAAATTAAAAAAACCCCAAAACTTTAAAAAAAAAATCCTAATTTCAACCCTATACTCACGTCGCTCGTTGCTTTTTCCGTCGTTGTCGTCAACCAAGCCTACCCCTGAATGTGCCTCCACCCGACGGTCATTTACCCCCGAACAGTCACCCAAAAACCATACCTCGATGATAAAATCGACGATAAACTTGACGAATGACAGACTTTGAAAACAATTGGAATTCGCGACATGTGATGACTCCGATAACAATATCGACGACAAGGCTGATAACAACAAACAAGGGAGATGGAAAGAATGGCGTCGGCGACCAGCTGGCCGTGGTTGGCAAGGGAGAATGTAAGTGTAGGGTTAGTGATTTTAGGCTTTATTTTAGGGATTTGTGTGTTTTTTTGGTAATTTTAGAAAAATTACGATTTTTTAAATATAATAATATTTTTAAGTTTTTTTAATCAAAATTACTAGAACATGACACATGTGACTTAACGGAGTTTTTTTAATGATGGTTACGGTCCGAGTACCTAAAATGGTAACATTTGTAATGTTAGGCATTTGGATTGACCGAAAGAAAGTTTAGACTCCTATTTGGAAAACAAAGTATAGTTTGGGTACATATTTTTATATTAAGCCTTAAATTTATTAAATAGAATTAAAACCATGACCAATTTGATAGAATGTATAAGTATTAAAAGACTAAATTTGTAACCATACTAATTCTTTTAACAACCACATCAGTTCTTCCGTTGAATGTTAACGCATTGTGACTTGATTGCAATATTTAAGTAGTCAAGTGATCTGATTAATAAAATTAAAAGAAATCAGTAGTTAAAATAAAAAGAAACAATAGTTAAGTAAATGATCATGTTAGACCTTATATTATAAAACTTAAGATTATTAATTCGATACTATCATGAATATGCACACCAAATTCTTTGGTATAATTTTGGTTGAACTGCCCCATGAATCTGCACATTCTCTTTAAGGGCACTCCTTAACTTTCACAACTTGATCGATATTTTAGTTTTTCCTTCGCCCCATCCATCTCTGCCCATGTTTCTGTTATAAGATTGAGATAATTCTTTCTCGATAGTCAGACATACGTTATAATATCATACTATTGGAAAAATAAATAAACACGATCAAAAAAGAAAAATAAATACCACAATTTACGTATAAAACTCAAAAGGGAAAACCAAGGGAAAATGAGAAAAATTTTACTAACATGAAGGAAGAAAATACTAGAGGATATTGGAGAAAGAAAAACTTGATATATAACTATTACCCTTAGTATATATTTGTAAGGATAAATACTTGATTACAAAAGAAATCAAATAAAGTAAAAAACTATTTTAATAAAGTTCTATATTTTTAGTCAAACTAGGTTTACTAATTTCCGAATTAAATTATGACACTTTAAATTTGAGCCAAATTTTAGTAAATCTTTACCTTGACATAAATTTTGAAATTGCAAAGGATTCGAGACAAAAAACCCAAATTCGATAAGACACCTAAACTCAACAAAAAATAATTATTTACTTTAACGAACAAGTTCTCCACCTCATCCACAACCCTTGAAGGAGTAATCTTCAGTAATGGACGCCGGTCGAATCCAATCTTTTCCTAAGCTTGAGTTTAGTCTTCACATCGACATAGTTATCATAAGTGCCAACTTTGCTCACAAATGTATCACCATGAGCAATATCATGTACAATATGATCCCAATCATCGATGATAATTCTATCTTCAAATTCGTTATGCCCATGATATTGAACTCTTTTTTGCTTCATATAACCGTTTTACCCACGATTATCTTGTTCAACAAAAATTATTCTTTTGCTTAATTTAGTAAAAATATTTTTACTAGTAACAACGTCATTCGACAAGGAGAAGGAAACACTAGCTGCATTATTTAAAACTGTTGAATCATGCAGAACATAAAACTTGGTAGTATTTCTCTACCATTTCATCACAACAAGAGAGCCATTGTAAATTTCCATAGCTCCACCTTCACTAGAGAATTTGTACCCTTTTGAATCTAGGGTACATAACGAAATTATATTTCTACTCAAATTTGGAACATGCCTCACTATATCAAGTGTTCGAACAATCCCATCAAATATCTTAATCTTAATTGAGTCAATACCTATGATTTTACAAGGTACATTATTTCCTAAAATGTATCACATGTGGATATAACTTTATATGCCGCAAACTAGTCACGATTGAGACTCATATGAAAACTGTTACTAGAGTCAAGTATCCACTCATTATTAGTTATAAAGTTGTCGGTAGCCGCAATTAAGAGTTCTCCATCATCGTACTCCTTCACTACACCGACCTCACCAGATTTTTTTTCAGATTTCCGCTCTTTAGCTTCTCTTTTGATTTTATTCTGTAACTTGTAACACTTTGTTTTAACATGACATTTCTTTTTACAAAAGTGACAAATTTTTCTTTAGTTGGAAGATTTTGATATGCCTTTTCCTATACTATTAGAAGAATGCTCGTATTTTCTTCCACGATCTGAGCTAGTCGATCTATACACTATGAGACCCTCTGCATAGGACTTGGAACTAAATACAAGATGTTTCAAATGAGCATAGGCCATGTACACTTCTTCGAAAAAAGTGGTGACGGTACATATATCTCTGAAAGATGAGTAGGAAGGAGAGATCGAACATAGAAGGATCAATCTTAAGTCTTCTTAGTCATACTTTACTTCTAAAATCTCTAGATCAAAGACGACGACAACAACAACAACACCCTATTCCCATATGCAATGGGGTAAGGGGAAGTAGGGTAGTAGGCTGCCCCCAACGCCAGGTTGAGAGCAACTTCCGTGGAAGACCTCCGGCAGTCAGAAAATTAAAAATAAAGATAAAATGCAATGCATGTATAAATAAATAAATAAATAAATACATAGTTGAAACAATCTTCATATGCAGACTACATATGCGCGTCTGTAATGGAAATTAATCCCTGTAAATAAATCCCTGCGTAAAAAGACTCTGCATATAGACAGAAACGTAAGACCCGACTAAAATTAAAAAGAGGAATATCAACGATAGCAAGCAACGAGAAGGAATAAAGCCAAATGGGTTAAAACCTAAACTAAGGCAACACTTCTCCGCTACCCTAGTTCTAAGCCTTCAAAAATTCCAATGACAGAAACGTATAAAAAGTAGAAGTCATGGAAATTTCTACAAAGACATTAAAAGAAGAAAGAGATGATACACCCTATGGATGTGACCTGCACTACTCGGCTACCCTGGTCTTAAGTCTCCATACTTTCCTATTAGAGGTCATGTCGTCGGTAAGGGCTAAATCCTTCAAATCAGATCTCAAGCAGTCTTCCTACTTCCTCCTTGGTCATCCTCTTCTTCTGGCACTGTCGACTGTAATCGACTCTACCCTCCTGATCGCATTTGACAGTTGTCGCCTAAGGACATGCCCAAACCACCGTAGTCTTCCCTCCCTCAATTTTTCGGATACATGCACCACCCCAAGGACATCCTAATAGCAGAGTTTGGTGTCATATCCCACAGAGTCCTACCACATGCCCATCGAAGCATTCTCATTTCTGCGACCTCCATTCTCCTTACGTGATCCTTCTTGATTGCCCAACATTCTGATCCATACAGTAGCGCTGGTCTTATTGTCATTCTATAGAATTTTCCCTTAAGTTTTAGAGGCACTTCCTTGTCACACAAAACTCCGGTAGCAACCCTCCACTTTAGCCATCCCGCCTTTATACGGTGTGTAACGTCATCATCCACACCCCCATCTTTGTGTATCATAGACCCTAGGTACTTGAAACAATCCTTTGAGGGGAGAACGTGTCATTCTATGCATACCTCTACATCTTCATCATTTTGGTTCCCACTGAAGTTTGAACATAAATACTTTGTCTTTGCAATATTGATCCTTAGACTTTTTTCTTTAAGTGTTCTTTTAAAAAACGAACTTTCCATTAATTTGACCGAATAAAGACATTGCTTTCGGATTTCATTGCGGAAAGTAATAACTTTAATTATTTAATTTTGTGATGTTACTTATCCGTTTTGGATTTGATTTTCATATATGGGTTGTGTGAGCCCAAGTCATCGGAGGCAGGTTGTGCAGATGGATATTGTATGCGCCTAAGTCTTTGGCAAGCAACTCCGTACCCCC